CATAGAGGAAAATACTGGGAAAAACAAATAGGAAGGCAAAGAACCAAGAGAAGATGGGCCTTATAGCTAAGGATGAGTGGAGATTCCAGTGGGAGTGGTTTATTCTACGGGTGGTGGAGAGCAAGGGCAATAAGAAGAACCAGCAGGTACTGGATGCTTTCTATATGTCATGACTGTCCTAAGACTTCACATGGATGAACTAATCTTCACACTAACTCTGTGAGATAGTGTCCCTATTATTTCTATTTTATGAACTAGGATACCAGGCCCAAAGAGGTTACATACTCTGCTCAAAGACAAACCAGTGGGGGAGCCATGAGTCAAACCAGGCCACCTGGCTCTCAGGCATGGAGTCTTCCACACCATGCAGTCATGCTCCATCTAGCTGAGGAGCAGAAAACAGTGTGCAGCAGGCTAAGGGCTATGGCGCAGAGGATGGAAGAGGAAAAAGAACACCCCTCTTTCTGACCTTTGTCTGTGAAAAGAGCATAGTGGTGCCTGCTGTTCTAAGCTGTGACATCTCCCGTGTTAGGTCACCAAGTCTGCAGAGATTGTATGTGGATGCGAGCACCCCTGATGCAACGCCAGTCATGAGAGCCTAGAGGATATGCTTTATCTTAGAAAACGTAGTTTTGAGCACGTCTTCAGGACAGTGTAGCAGCTGCTTTGACGTTGGCTTTTTTTTTTTTTTTAACCACATTCCAATGTTATTACTGACTTAAAATAGTCCTTGAGAAAGAAGAGAAAAAATAATCTGGCTCTCAGGATAAAAAAAACACTGTGGTATTTCAACTTACTTTCAGTTTTGCATATGTCTGTGAATCCTTCCTGCTTTCTCTTTTTCACAGGTGAGGGAGTAAGGTCTGGCCCAAGCTGGATGGGAAAGCACCTGTGTTTGCCTTGCAGCTGTTTTGCAAAGCAAATACACAGGTACAGGATCCACCAGCAACAGTGAAGTCAGGCCGACATTCTGGGGAAAAAATGTGCACCTGAGTGACAGACTAGACTGGTGTCTGTCGTGTTGCAGGATGTTGCACCCTCTTAACACTCACACGTTAAGGTTCTGGCAGATTTATCGATTCCTTTCATTAACGATCTGGGAAGATATGAATAACAACTATTTTGTTCCTAATTGATGCAGTCTGCTGTGCACATGGCTAAAATCTGTTCCCAGAATTTTTCATTGCTCAAGTTTGGGAATTTCATTTAAAATATGTGACTATATATTTATCTTTTTCTTTCTTAACATTTATTATGGATGGTGACTTTCCCTAAGCCCAAATCCAACTATCATGCTCAGATTTCTGCACAATAGGAAGAGAATGTATCTTTTTTTTTTTTTTTTAAGACTTTCACTTGGAAAGTAGAAACCTGGCCTCTTGAGGACAATCCGGACCCTTCAGAGATGCAGGCAATCCAGTGAAAAAGTACTGAAAAATCTAATCTCTGTCTCAAATTTATTTATAGCTTTTTCTTAGTTAATTCTAAGTTTTGGCTTGTATATTTTTTTAATAAACCCAGCCTGATATTTGACCACATAAAGCATTGAAATTGCTTCTTGCTTTGTCCAGTAGTTAAAGTTGGACCACAGCTTGACTTCACATCACTTATAAAACACACATGTTCTCTGTGGCCTGTCCTTGAGCAAGAAAGGAGACTACAAGTACAGATAAAACAGTTGTTTGAATAGTGCATTAAGCAATTATTGTAAGAAACTTTAAGAAAAATTATTGTATGAAGAAAGCTTATTTGTAAGCAGAATTAATACTTGGGTGCTTTGCAGAGAAAAATGAAACCAATATGTTGGTGTCCAGGAGTGGCTTTCAGTTTTCACTCTGGAGGCTTGTGAGGAACGTGTACAACATTGTCCTGGAGACGGACTAGAATTTTTTCTTGAAGCCAGGTCACTGCTTTGGGGGAAACATTTCCCAGTGGGCGCCTGGGGCTGTACTGAGCACAAGGCTGTGATTTTCACCCACTGAACACAGGACTGTTCCCTCAGGCAGATTGCGAGGCTGTTATTTTATAGCCCATTGACCAGAATTGCTGTGTCAGACGACCTTTTCCTGTTGAACATCCACGCAGTGCTCCTGGGTACCATGAACCCAGAACTTCTGAAGGAATTGGGACACACCAAAGGGATACTAGCAAGCAGGCTAGAAGTGCGGTCATATTTTTGTTGGCTTTTTATGAATGTCTGTTTTCAGAAGTATAACCCCAGGGTGTCTGCTTCCAGCTGACACCTCACATGTGAGCAATGAGTTGTAACCGTGATGCTAACTAACAATGAACTGAGCACTTTCTTTGTGTTAGGAATTTCTCTAAACACCTTACCTGCATTACTGTGTTTAGTTTTCACAAGCACCCTGTGCGGTAGCTAATGTTATTGCCACCATTTTTACTGAGGAGGAAACTGAAGCCTGGGGAGGTGACATAGTCTACCTAGGGTCACAGAGTTTGTGCACTGTATCCTGTGTGTCCATCTCCAACATTCTTTCTAAGAAGGGACATGCCAGCAGTGATACATGAGAGCAGGAAAACTGGTATCTCAGACAGTGATCATTGTGCAAGGTCACATTGTCTCTGGATGGGCACTATTCCCAAGCCTTTCTTTCAGGATGGTGGGGAATTGGAAAGGCTAAGATCCCATCTATGCTTGTTTCTGTCTGAAGAAAGCATCCAGTGTCTATTAGTGTTTTCTTTTAAGAGGTTGGGTCCTTGGCAACCCTGATGTAGGCCTGTCTTCCCCAGCTCTGTGTTGTATTCTAGAGGGGCAAGGCATGGGTGCGCCTCCACAGGGAACCAGCCAGTGTGTCTAAGGCTGCAGCGCTGGGTCAGTGGTGAGGAGCTTTTCCTGTCGCCCTTCCTTCTTCCTCCAGTCTTGAAGTCCCTCTTCCTCAGGTTGGGGAAACTGATTCCACTTTGCTGTCAGGCCACTCTGTGATATCCTGGCTTAGAAAGTTCCAGGGCCTATACTGCTTAAATAATAAGATTCTGCTCTTATCTCTTGCCTGCCTCCTTCTGAAAGTATTCAACTCAGTTTACTGAAAGGTAAATGGTGAGCACTCAGGATTAAGTAATACTTCCAACCCACTTAAAGTTTCCTCATTGCCAACAAAGATACATAAGACCTAGGAATAACCGTATTTTCCAAAGGCCATATGTGTCATAGTTCACAAAAATGAAAAGTGAAAGTCACTCAGTCGTGTCCAGCTCTTTGTGACCCCATGGACTATACAGTACATGGAATTCTCCAGGCCAGAATACTGGAGTGAGTAGCCTTTCCCTTCTCCAGGGGATCTTCCCAACCCAAAGACTGAACCCAGGTCACCTCATTGCAGGTGGATTTTTTACCAGTTACTGGAGTGAGTAGCCTTTCCCTTCTCCAGGGGATCTTCCCAACCCAAGGACTGAACCCAGGTCTCCTCATTGCAGGTGGATTTTTTACCAGCTGAGCCACAAGAGAAGCCCACAAAAAATAGTTCACAAAGCCTACCATTAAATGGCATCCAGTAAGTGGCAGCCACAAGTATTTGAATCCTCAGGCCTGACCCCTCTTTCTTGTTGTTTTAGTCATTCAATCATGTCCAATTCTTTGTGACCCCATGGACTGTAGCCCGCCAGGCTCCTCTGTCCATGGGATTTCCCAGGCACAAGATACTCGAGTGGGTTACCATTTCCTTCTCCAGGAGATCTTCCCAACCCAGGGCTCAAACCTGTGTCACTTGTATTGGCAGACAGGTTTTTTACCACTGGGCCACCAGGGAAGGCCCAACCACTCTTTAGTATGTCGTAAGTGTCTGATCAAAAGCAGTTGACTGAGGGAGAAGGAGAGATGTAAGATATACTGCATACGTATTCAAACCCTGGTGAAACAATTATCTATAGACTCTGTTCTCCAAAGGCATTTCCTAACTAGGGTACAGAGATACACTGTCATGTTGGTTCAAGGGTAGCTGTTCGCCATCAGGCTGTTCTTTCTGGGCTGTTTTGATTTCCTGAGCAGCTTTGTGTGAGAAATGCCAAGTGTCAAAATCTGTTGTAGAGGAGAATCATAGACAAACCATTAGGAAAAAAACTTTATTGTATAATAGAGAATATCCCATTTTCCTGAACTCCCCGTGAACACTTCCTCAGTTGAAGGGTCCTGAGTACCAGACTTACCCATACTCAGGAGCCATGTGGCTACCCACCTCACGTCTCGACCATGTCTCCATTTTTTTTTTTTTCCCCTATCTCCTGTGTCTGGCTACATCCAGCTACTTTTAATTCCTTCTCTTCCCCACTGTTGGCTGAGTGGATAATTAAACAGTAAGTCCTGTTCTTTGTTGAGACCATACGTTTAAAAAAAGACTTCCTACAGGGAACCGAAGGTAACTTTGAAAGACAAGCTTTGAAAAGGAGCTTTAGGAAGATGAAGGTTTTGAGAACGGAAATCAGGTAAAAGCCCATTCCAGCTGAGTCTTCATGCTCAGGAGGGCACAGGTTTTCAGAGACCATTGATTGTTGGTTTCTGTCCTCTACTACTTAAGATGCTGGAGTTGACTGCCTGGGTTCAGATCCCAGCAGTGCCACTTACGAGCTGTATGATGCTGAGCAAATATACTTTCTCTGTGTGTCTCAGTTTTTTTTTTCATCTGTGAAACAGAGACAATAATAGCACCTGGCTTAAAGAGTTGTGAGGACTGAATCAAAATGAACCACTTAGCACCTGGACTCACAGAAAGTATTCAATAAATGCCTAGTAAAACGTCCATGGAGTGCTAAAGAAAAATGTACTTACTCTAGATTTATATAAAAAGATCATCTTGGAACCATGGTGAAATGGTTACTGCACTTGACCTAATAATAACCTCCAAGGTTTTTACTTTGATTTTTCCTGTCAGCCACCCCCTGGGAGGGAAGCAGGAGCTGCTTGTCTGCGTCTCTCTCTGATCCTGGGCAGATGAAAATTATAAGCCATTGGAGTGATGGGCCTCCTGGTTCTTTTTCTTACTCAGGTGCTGGAAAGCTTCAAGATCATGGACTATAGCCTTCTGCTGGGAATCCACATCTTGGACCATACCCTCAAAGAAAAAGAAGAGGAAATTTCTCAAAATGTGCCTGATGCTAAGCGGCCTGGGACGCAAAAGGTTCTCTACTCAACAGCAATGGAATCCATCCAGGGTCCAGGGAAATCGGGAGACGGAATCATCACAGAGAACCCAGACACGTAAGTGCACCCATCTGCCCACACACTCCTTGATCATGGCAGCTGATGTCATTGGATAATTAAATGCAATCATATTCCCTTCATGGTGGCTCTTTAGGAATAGATTCCTACCTGGCACTAAAATGGATCGAGCCAGCCTAATTTCCTCTCATCCACAGATAACTGGATGAATGGCAGTTTTTTTAGTCGTTATGCTTTCACCCACATGATTTCTCTTTTCAAATGGCTCCATAATTTAACAATGGCTAAAAATGTTTTTATTCCTATTTACTACATATTCAAAACATCCTTCACAAACAGAGGGGATATACTTTGAATTTGAATAAGCATGCATTTAAGCAAATACTTGCTAGAAGTGATGTCTGCAATTCAGAACTTTTTATCTGTGTAAGAGGATTCTGTTGTCCTAGTCCTACATCCTGACAGATGTGATCACTTGCTTCAGCCAGATGTGCAGCATTAGTTTGCTTATTGCCTAACAGAAACAGTTACAACCAAAGAAAATTATTGAATTGTTGACTGTATCATGTGTATGTACTAGCCGAGCAAAAAGACTGAAAGAAAGAAATCATTTTCCTTGACTATAAGTGCCCGTCTTGTAAGCTTCTCCAACAGTGACTAAACCACAGACATATTTTACTTTTATGAAGGAAATTCATACATACTAAGGTTTTTAATCCTTCCTATAAATCCATCTAAATGTCCAATAATTGATTAAAGTTATTCTGTGTCAGCATACTGAAGTACTGCACAGTACTACACAATAGCATACTGAAGTACTACACAGCCATTAAAAGCACATTAGCATTGAATATGAAGAAATGTTCATCATTTAGCAAGTGGAAAATTCAGGTTATAAAACATGATAAGTAATAACTTATGCAGATGAATAAATACAGAGGAAAGATGTTAGTAGTAGTTATCTTTGCATCCTTGGAATGGATTCTTTATATATTTTTCCTTTGTGCTCACCTATATTTTATTTTTAAAATCTCACAGTACCTATATAAAAGTATTGCATTTTTGACGAGCAGTACTTTTAAATACTTAAAAAATTCTTGCTCATGGTTTTAAAGTCAGAATAATTTTTAATTGAATTCTTCCCATCCAACTCTTCAGAACTGACAACTATGGTATTATTCTTCTTCTTGGGAAGTACATCTTTCTTGATTCCCAGGAAGACTTTAGCTGAAGCCAAAAAAATAAAGATGAGAGTCCATGATTTTTAGAGACTAACTATTTTCATTTACAGTCTATTTATTAGAAATGATTTTTAACTTCCTGTTCACACAAAATGATTTCTCTTTTGCTCTGTTCACAGAATGGGAGGCATTCCAGCTAAAAGCCATAAGGGAGAAAAACTGCTTTTGTTTATGGGCATTATTGACATTCTGCAATCATATCGGTAAAAAATTTGGGGAAATAGTCTTTATTATTTCAAAATAATTCAGTGAAGTGTTCTGAGAAGTCACCAAATGGGGTTGATTTTACATTCTTACTTTTATTTTTCTGTATGTTTACATTTAGGTTAATGAAGAAGTTGGAACATTCCTGGAAAGCTCTTGTTTATGATGGGGTGAGTGATTTATCATGCTCCTTGTTAAACTGGATTATTTTTCTGATTTCTCAGAGACCTCAAAGTATGTCTAGGAAGCTGTGTCACTTGAAAAAGAGAGGAAACAAAGATCTTTATAAACTCAGAATCTCAGGCTTAGCAAATCAGTTCAAATCTAAGAATAAAGACAACATAAATGTGAATGGCTCTTCAAATAGAGGCCATCCAGGTGGGTGAACAGGTAGAGGCCAGGAAAACAAAATGATATCTTATTTTGATGTGCAATCTAAAGGACCCAATTAGGAGATGATGAGAAAAAGCAAAAGGCTTTTCATAGGCACCAGAAAGACCAGTAGGACAGTTGAAGTTCTCCCAAGACTAAGCTTCAGAGGAGTTTGAACCTGAATCTGATGGTAGACAGCTATAGGCTGGAACCCAAAATTTAAACCATGTTACTAACCATGTGACCCAGACACATTGCTTGCTTCTCATCTCTTAGTGTAATTCCCCATTTATAGCAGGAAGCTAGTAATAGTACATATACCTCAGAATATTTCCCTGGTGGCATAGTGGTAAAAAATTCGCCTCCAAGTAGGAGATGCAGGTTCAATCCCTGGGTTGGGAAGATCCTCTGGAGGAGGAAATGTCAACCCACTACAGTACTCTTGCCTGGAAAATTCCACAGACACAGGAGCCTGGCGGACTACAGTCCATGGGGTCGCAACGTGTCTGACACAACTTAGTGCATGCACTAGTGCACTCCCTGCCTCATAGGCTGATGTGAGGGTTGAGTTCAGTAATGCCCTTTGGTGTTCAACACAATGCATAACACATAATGAGGACATGGGGAGGGAAAACTTTTAAATTGTTTTGGATTTAAATGTAACAAAGGTTGCCTGAAATGAGAATGTCTTTGGACCCAGATATGGCATGACTGAAGAAAACAATTATCAAAGAGCAGTCTGTCTGCACACACACACACAACTTCCTATCTAGAAGTTAAATTTGAACTTCCTGCCACTTGACAGAACATTTATGGCCTCAGCCTCACTCAGTAAATAACTCAAAGTGACACTTCCAAAGATTGTATTGGTCAAAGATTTGCTCACATGTTTTTTTAAGATGTTAGCAGATGCTTTCCTTTGAAAAAAAAAAAAAAAGAAATTATAGATGCTCTTCTTCTCCGTTCCTGGAAAAAACACTCACTGTCTCAGTTCTGTGGAAGACTGGTAATAACCTCTCAGCATGTCAGATCTGCATTTTGTCCACAGGCTAAGGAAATGACCTTTGTCAAAATGCACTTTTAAACAACAGGTTCACAAGTTTGTTTCTGAGAATCAAACTTAGGCTTCTTATTCAAATCAAAGATTCTTTTTTAAGAAAAGGCCAAGAAGGAAGTTTAATTTTTTTCCTTCTAGGTGAGAAAAGTACCAACTACATAATGCTTTGAACATGGACGGGAGAGAGAGTAAACACTCACTTTCATTCTCCTCCTGTTTATTGACAATTTCAATTCCCTGTTACCAAATGAGACTTCTGCTCCAAATGGTCTAGTCCTCTATCGGTCAGATACTTCTAAGGAGCCCCTACCTTTGTTGAAATAAAATATGTCTTCTGTTTTTCAGTTGTTTTTTTTTTTAAGAAAATCTCTGTGCTGATTATATATTTATGTAATTATAAGCAATAATTAGGACTTTTTTTTGTCTTTTTACAATTGTGCCTCTCCTTTAAACACGGTTTCCTCATACCAAAAAGAGCCACAGTTTAACCTCTCATAGGAGGCAAGGGCTGACTCAATCATCTTACATCCTACGTATTTCTAAATGACTGCACTTGTGAATCCATGTCCACTTCCAGCAGAAACTGACAGAACACTGGGGAGAGTGCATGTCAGACCAGTGGGAAGTTTTCCATCACATCTGCAGGATCACTGATAGTTTAGAGACCATTATCACTTGGCAGAGGATTCCTCTATGATGTGTCCTTCATAAAACGCTGATTACAGAATTCTCTTATGCTTCATGTAACACCCAATTTCACAGATGAAAAGACTGAGGCACTGAGATACTGTCTTTACCCAGGATCACAGAACTCTTTAAAATTAGAGCTAACACGAGAACCGGGTCTCTGGATTCTGGTCCAATGTGTATTTCTTCTTCCAAACCACTACAGATGATATTATCTAAATACTAATTTTTAGAAGTTTCCCTGTTGGAATCCATGAACCTCAAATCAAAATGAAACACTAAATAAGCCAATTTACTATTTTTAGAAATGTCTATCTCAGATAGCAAATAAATGACTACTCAATAAATATATGGAATTAGCTCCTTCATCTATCTTCTTTCCTGGACTTGTGATAAAATGCCCCCTCAGTCCTAAAGATTCCTACCAAGCATGAGAGAATTGAGCTAATGATTAAATTCAATTCAACTGTATCTAAATAGTAGCTAATTGAACCTAACAGGGGTCATTAGTCCCCTTGTCTCCTAGGAATCTTCATGGTGTTTACATACCTTATTACTGGAAAGTGAAACCAGCAAACATTTTTTGGCTCTCTCTCTCAACCTTACATTAGGGTTGTTTTGCTTGTTTATGTCCCAGTTTTGTTCTGACTGAAAGTGATTATGTCTTTGTTCCAGATGACACTTGAGGCACTGATTGCCTATATGTTAAAAAATGGAATTTAAAAGCCCCTCTTGGTGGACAGTGGATTAAGGATTAGCTGTTTGGGTTTATAAAGCAAAGTCTTTGCTATCTCAGCACTGCCCCGCTTCATGATCTGTTTCACCATCAGTATCTGGAATCTTTACTCAGATTGATCCTTATGCTTTTGGCCCCAGCCTGGCTCTTGTGTGCACAGCCCACAGGCATCACTCATGTCTAACTCCTAATGTCCATACCTTCTGGTTAAGGACTTTGGCTAACAGAGAGCCAGTTGCATAGAGCTTTCTTCTGGCTCGAAACAAACTCTGCGAGAGGTAAACCTGTGGTACCTGATTTATCTTTTCAGGACACTGTTTCGGTTCATAGACCCAGCTTTTATGCAGACAGATTTCTAAAGTTTATGAATTCCAGAGTTTTCAAGAAAATTCAAGGTAAGATTTTTATGAATTTCTTTTTTATTTTTCACCTTTAGCACTTACTGACTGGTTTCACTTTGTAAGATTTTTATTTATTTATTTTTTAATTGCCAAAACAGTTTTTTTTTAAATTTTACTTCACAATATTGTATTGGTTTTGCCATACATTGACTTGAATCTGCCATGGGTGTACATGTGTTCCCCATCCTGAACCCCCCTCCAACCTTTCTCCCCATCCCATCCCTCTGGGTCATCCCAGCACACCAGCCCCAAGCACCCGGTATCATGCATGGAACCTGGACTGGCGATTCTTTTCACATATGATAATTTACATGTTTCAATGCCATTCTCCCATATCATCCTGCCCTCACCCTCTCCCACAGAGTCCAAAAGACTGTTCAATACATCTGTGCCTCTTTTTCTGTCTCACATACAGGGTTATCGTTCCCATCATTCTAAATTCCATATATATGCATTAGTATACTGTATTGGTGTTTTTCTTTCTGGCTTACTTCACTCTATATAATAGGCTCCAGTTTCATCCACCTCATTAGAACTGATTCAAATGTATTCTTTTTAATGGCTGAGTAATATTCCATTGTGTATATGTACCACAGCTTTCTTATCCATTCATCTGCTGATGGACATTTTGGTTGCTTCCATGTCCTGGCTATTGTAAACAGTGCTGCGATGAACATTGGAGTACACGTGTCTCTTTCAATTCTGGTTTCCTCAGTGTG